TGTCAGGGAACATTTAAGTTACAGATTAGAAAAATATTCTTCAGCTAGAGAGTGTTTGAGCACTGGAGCAGACTCCCCAGCACCTGTCAGACTCCCTAAGCCTGTCAGAGCTCAAGAAGCATCTCAACAACCCTGTCAGGCCCATGGTGTGACTCTTGGATTGTCCTTTGAAGAGCTGAGAGTTGTACTAGATATTCCTTCTGTGTCCCTTACATCTCTGAATATCCTGTGATTCTGTGATCCCTAATTCCGGTCAGCTTTCTCCAGCCTTTCCACCCTGAAAAGCTCAGGATGTCTCCCTACAGCCAGGCATTACCAGGTTTGAGGCAGTTAGCAACATGAGAGGGCTATTCAGTGCAGCTATTTTGCCACTGGCAGTAACTCAAAAGAGGACACCCCCAAAGGCCACCWTTGTTTTCCACTTTAGCTCATGCCATGACTTGCTGTACAGTTTTACTGACCAAAATAGCAGCATAAGGAAGGCATGTACTGAGGATTGTACTGAGTACCCTGAATGAAAACACACTTTCCTTGCTTAAGGTATTTAAACTTGCCAKATCTCTTTAGCTTTGGGGTTAGTAATTTCTGTGCTGTCTCTTGATAGGGAGTTCAAGAATCAGTGTGATGTGCTCTGCTTCTTACAGAACTCCCTGAGCATTGGTATCATGGGCATGGAGGCCAAGATGAAGTGAGAGTTGTATCAGTGATGAACTGAGTCAGCTAAAGAGCATCTCTTCAATTTAATAATTGCATTGGGATCTTCATTAAACTACTACAGTCGCTTAATCTTGTGCTGAAAAATTAATTTTTGAGTTACATTCTCCTCTCAGTTTTTAATAACAAGCTGATGTTTCAATGAAATGTTCTTTTTAGAGCTGGCTAGAGCWAGCTGGATTCAACAGAGAYGTTCACTCAGTTTCAAGTKKCAAGGTTTGAYAGGTGRCCTTCAGAAGTCCCTTCCAACTTAAACTGTTCCATGACAAAGCACGGAGAATTTTTGACATTACACATCATTTTGTATTGTTTCCTTTTAGAAAGGAATTTATGATGAAGCCTTAAGCAGTTTCTTTAGGAACGTAGATACAAGGTAAGTTTTACCAAGCTGTTCAAGAGCTTAACACAGTAGATCAATGCTTGTAGTATCTTCTCTTAACCTAAGTTAAAGTTCTTTTTGTTTTCAGTCATATTTAGCTTGTGCTAGAAAAAGATTTTGMTTTTTTGTATACTCCTCAAAACCTTATCTTTGCATTTCCATTTTAACTATACATTCTTCAGTAGTTCAATGTGTTGAAAGTATTTGGGTTTGTTTTCTTTTCCTTTTGTCCCAAAGGTGATAGTCAGGATCTGATAGCTTTTGTCATTGCAAATCAGTCAGATTGTGTGCCCTCTGAATACCAACTGAGCAGCATTTCTTGAAGAGTTGTAAGAGGAATTGTATATGGGATAGTTAGAAAAGACTGTTTTTAAATCTTATCTATTTTATTACACAGAGTAGTAGCTATAATTGTGTAAGTTAATCAATTCATACCTTAAATGCATTAGTTAGCTCTTGTCTGTTCAGTTATAAAAATCCTTGCAGTTTGCAAGAAGAAAATATGTACTTGGGATATCCTGTTGCTTTCTAATTAATAAAAAAACATTTGACCAACCTCTGTTTCCTTCCATTATATTAAAGGGTTCTACTACAGTGTGTGATTTTAACTAGAACAGCATTGAAATTCAAGTTGATTTGTGTTAAGTTTTACCTCTTTCAAAGAACACTGCAAATGTATTGAAGTTTCTTATTGTTATTCCTTATAGGTATTTCCTAGAACTTTTTTTCTTTTTTTTTAAGCTAAAAAAAAAATTGATCGTAAAAAATGTCTGTTTCTGTACATGCCAGATGAAACCACCAAGTTTGTAATTGACAGGTTGGCTGCGATAGAAACATCTGTTTTCTCTCTGAGCAACCCCATCTAGTGGAAGGTGTCCCTGCCCATGGCAGGGGGGGTTGGAACTGGATGATCTTTAAGATCCCTTCCAACCCAAACCATCCCATGGTTCTAGGAACGTGGGGATATTTTTCAGCAGTTGAATCCAATGATTGAAGGTATAGTCTGGCATAAAAGACCACAAAGGCAGTAGTAAGAAAAAGAAATGTTTTGGGGCTGGTTTTATTTCCCCTTTCAATTTTATTAGTCCCTGAAGATAAATTCTCTTGGTGAATTTACTGGTGCTGTAGTGTACTCCTATAGGTGTTGTGTAGGCTAGGGGAATCACTTGGGTGTTGGAGSCTGCTGTGAGCTGCTTACCTAATGAGAAGTGTCTGGAGACTGTTGTTGAGTGAGAAGGTGCAAAATCCTTGAGGAATCCAGTGCAGCCCTGTACTCTCTTCCCCTTATTCCCAATGGGACTCAGCAAGCTCAGAACATTGGTACTGTAATGAATTTTAGCTGATGTTTTGTGAATATAGCAGTGGTTGAATGTAGAATGGTCTAAGACATACTTTAAATCTAGGCTTGGCCAGCTCCCACATTGGATAATTAATGGAGGGGGAAATAAGATCCATCTTCCACTATCCCTGCCTTTTTCCCCCCTGTGTTGAATATAGTTTAGCCTGACCATAGTCAGTCATCTCATCCTTTGAGTGGGAAAAAATGTGATTGTAACATAAATATATAGTCTGCTATGTTGGCTCAGTACAGCCAGTCCTAGGAAAGAAGGAAGATTTAGCTATGTCAGCCCAGTAGGATTTCTGAACTGGTAAATCATAATAAGCAGAATAAGTCAAGCACAGCACTGTGCTGGTGCTTTTACAGAGCTTTCACACCTCGAGCACAAGCACAGTGTTGTACTACCCCTACTGAAAAGCTCGTGGGGAGCTTTTTTCTGCTGTATGATGTGGATACACATATCACATGCTGATAAAAGATAATCCTTTCAAGTTTTGGCAATGCCTGTAGAATTCCTGCAAAGCAGAGTCTGTATCTGAGAGTAAACTTTAATGCTTGTCTTTTCAGCTTCTTGAAGTAATGTTTAGGATATTTCTGATTGAGATTGTGTCCTGTAGTTGTATTACTTTCAGAAATTATGAGGTCTTAGCAGCACATTCAGGATGTTTCTGTTTGTTTGCATTGTCATAGTCCTCCAAACACAAAATACAAAAGATAAAATTTTATTGTAGTATATATTTTATGCTATGAATCTGATTTTAGATTTTTCTGTTACTGGTTGTTTTGGTKTTTTTTTTTCAGGAGTGGTGATAATGGTCCTGATATTTACAAAGGAAAAATCTGCTCTTTAAAAGCACGAGTAAGGCAATCTATAAAGGTCACTCTTTCTGCACTGAATATTTATGTCCAACTGTGTGGGAATTCTCATGAAGTTCTTAAAATTGCATACCAGTTTCAACACTGCTTTGAATAGTAAAGTTTCTAAAATTAACTTTGATTAATGCAGTTTGCTGACAGTCTTGTTGAGTATTTTAAATTAAAATTTTAATAAATTTATTACAGATATTATTAACTAAGTTTTTATTTGAATTTTGTAAGGATTGGGTTTCTTTGAGCCTCTTAAATACTCAAGAAGCAAGGAAACTTGAAACATAAAAATGTGCTAATTTCCTTATTCCTAAGTGTTGGGGCAGGATATTATAAAATTTTAACAAAATTTTTTTGTCTGAACTGCTGTCCTATCGAATAACTTCTAGCAAATCAGCTGAAGTGAATCTAGTTGGTCTCGTAGTTAACAACTGAGGGGCAAAAAAGGTTTCTCTGGAGCGAGTAGAAACAGAATTCCTTTTATATTGTAAATAATTTTGTATTTTTTTGTGTGAATATTTCAAGGGTGGTTTKCTTACTGACTGAATTTTAATTCTTTCCATTCTCAAAGGCACTATTGATTGACATGGAGGAGGGTGTGGTAAATGAAATTCTACAGGGACCATTGAGGGATGTGTTTGATAGCAAGCAGCTTATCACAGATGTTTCTGGTTCAGGAAACAACTGGTGAGAACCTCTTTAGAASACATTTCTTAGCAGCTAATTAGATGGCATTTGAAAGGGGAAATGATAACCGTAGCTTTCTGCTTCGTTCTGCACCTGGAGAGCTGCAGCATTTTACCAGCAAACTTGGAGTCACTGTTGCCTGGAGGAGGGCTTTCAAAAGGCTCTTACAGAAAAATAATTCTGCTGATGTATCATTTTGTCTTTTTTTTTTCTCCCTCTTTTTTGATTTTCTTTACAAAAGAATGTGCTTTTTATTTTTGTTTCTTTGGCATTCAGCTGCTTTCATTGCTTAGTTTGAGACTGTGCCACTACTGTGGAAATGAAATATATGAACAAATGCACTTCTGATTTCTAAGCACCACAGTCTGGCTTTGTGCATATAAACTACATTACCAAAAGAGAAATTCAGAAAAAGATTKATTAACATAATGAATTCCAAATTTTCAGGAGACCCAAATGTGCTCTAATAATATTCAATGCACTACAGACTGGAAAGCGTATCACCACCAAATGTACCAAAAGAGAGTGCAATATAGGGAATGAAACATTCTGTAACTGTATTCTCTAGCAGACATGTATGTTGAAAATTAGCTGTTTGGGGTTTTTTATTACTAGGAGCAACTGACTCGCATAGTWCTCAGAAGATGAATCTGTACACATATTGCATAGTGGTGTCCTTATTGTAAAGGACTATATAGTTTTCATTTCATTATTACAATTAGATCATCCAGGTGGGAGTTTGTTCCTTCTCATTACAGATTAATAAGTGTGCACTACAAAGTTGTGAACTTATGCTGTTTGCATCCTCAAACCTAAAACTKTCCATATTTTCGTTGTGTAGTTACAGCTTAGAAACTGTCACAGATGAGGTGTTGGACCCAGCTTTGGACTCTAAAATGTCACATAGAAGGAGTTAAAATAAAAAATTAAGTGTTTGATTATTGAGGGTTTTTTAAAAGTATTTTTCATATCCTCAGGGCTGTAGGTTATAAAATATACGGCTATCAGTACCGTGAAAACATAGTGGAAAAGCTGAGGAAAACCGCTGAACATTGTGACTGTCTRCAGTGTTTCTTTATAATTCATTCCATGGGAGGTGGTAAGTAATCTTTTTATGGTATGATTGCAGTTGCCACAGATGAAAAGAACAACATGGATCTTGAAAAGAAAATATAGATATCTACACCATTCAGAATGCAGATTAAAAAAATAAGCATAGTCCAATCAAGTGGACCTGTAATTATTTATCACYTGTTCTGTTAGAGCACTGAGGAGCTCAAGACAGATACCAAACACWGAGGTATTACTTATCAGAAGGGTCATTGACCTCTGAACACTGACAGCATTGCCATAATCAAGTTGGTTTTAATTGTGGGGAAAGAGTTTTCCAAAAGGCTTTAAAGGAGATTTTTAATGTTACTTAACTTCAGAAAAACTGTTTTTCTGTTTTCCTTCCACACAATTCTCTTAGAATCTAATCTAGTTACTTTGTTAATAAGCCAAAAGGGAGACTCCCTTTTGCAAAAATGACAATTTTGTCATTATTGAATTGCCGCTGAGCCTTCCTACACCAGAAACCTGAGAGAACATGTATTATAACTGGTTATAATGTAGAAAAAGACACAGGAAATAGCTCTAAATATGAAGCAGGGATTTTGTCAAGGGCCTTTTTTGTGGGCATTTGCTTGATTTCAGAGACCCTGCAGATACTGTTTCTATTATTGTGAAAACTGCTGTCTTGTTCATAGATTAAATTGTCTGCCACTAAGAATGTAGCTGAATATTCAGCAAAAGACCACAGTTCAGTTTTCTGTTTTGAGCTCGTGGCTGTGTCCTCTAGTGTTAAAGAGGAAAAAAGCCTATGTGCTGGGGAGAAGGGGCAATTCTATTGTTACTGGAGAATGAGAAAACTTCATAAAAAAACCCGAAAGGAAAATAAGTAATTGTTTGGGGCAGTTCAATGCTTTTAAGTAAGTGTTGTGTTTTGTAATTCAAATTAAAGAATTGAAAATAAGAAGTAGAAACCCTAGGTCGGAAAWATGTTTGTTACATAATAGGACTTAATGGTTTGCAGAAATTTTTGAGACTGTATACCTCATCCTGACTGACATATTGGGAAATAGTTGTATTACTTAATTATTTTTCTGTCTGGGAAGAACCTTCCTCCCTTAATTGAGCAGCCAAATGCTTCAGAAAATATTCATTAACATACATAATTGAACAGTTGTATGTCTCCTACATGAGTCTTAGTGCCTAAGATAATGTGGGAACCTGTCTTCTCTGGTTCTGTCTTCATTCATAATTAGGGACAGGATCTGGTCTTGGAACTTTTGTCCTAAATTTGCTTGAGGAGGAATTCCCAGAAGTATATAGATTTGTTACTTCAGTTTATCCCTCTGGTGAAGATGATGTGATTACTTCTCCATATAACAGTGTTCTGGCTATGAAGGAGCTTAATGACCATGCAGACTGTGTGCTACCAATAGAGAATGAAGTAAGAAATAATATTCTGTTTCTGTAAATTTTTTATTAGACAGTGGAAGTGTCTCTTCCTTTTCTCTAGTGATTGGAGTTCTAAGTTTCCAAAAGCATCATTTCATTTTTTAAAGTAATTATTGAACTCCTAAGTCACTTGCCGGCTTTTGAAATTAACATGGATATCACTAAAAAGTTGCTGTGCTCCTTCAAGGTAAGGTAGAGTGAATTTTTTCATGTCTATTTTAAGGTAAACAGTGAAAAGCTTCTATTTGCTGAGACGATGTCTTAGCGATCAATTTGTGCATAGTATTAGTTGGTCCTGCAAGGGAAATGACTAACCTCACCTAACTGTGCTGATTAGTGATATGGAAATCATAGACTCATTTGAATCTAGCTTTGGTGACTGTCTTGCTATTTGCTTATGAAAAAGGCAAGAGACAGTGAATTATAGTTAGAAACTATGTTTTTTTTGTTTCACAGGTGTTATCTTCTATAACTGCTTTTTAAATTTTCATAAGGATTTTGAATAGTTTAATAAAAATTCAGACTTCTGAGTCAAGCTGTGTACATATTTGTGACATGGCACAGACTTTTAGAAACACTTCAGTCAACTGAAATTGTTCAAAAGTTGGACTTAGATGTATCAAAGGGATAATCTTTGAGCTAACAGTACAATGTCTGAGCATTCAAGATTAATAAAAATGGAAAACTGGGATACAGAATTTGAAAGTTCTGTACTCAAGACTACTTCTGTGCTTTTTTTTTCCTCTCTCCCAAAGTCTCTGTTTGAGATAGTTAATAAAATTCATCAGATGATCAATGCTGGGAAGTTAGGATCAACTGTGAAGCATAACAGCTTGGTAACATCAAGTGCCGGCAGTGCAAAAACACTTCAAGAGAAGCCATTTGATGCAATGAATAACATTGTAGCCAATTTGCTGCTGAACCTGACAAGGTAAAGTTTCAGGTTTTGCCTCTGTAACACAGTAGTATTGCTGGAGGTGGTGTGGGCTGTAAAAACGTAGGTCTTCATCAACGTGAGTAATATTAATTGGTTTTCATTTGATATGAGTCTTCTCTTTAGGAATTCGTTACTAACTGCTGAAGTATTTGGAAGTGTTCAGATTGGAGTGGTGTTGCTTTAGCTGTGATAGTCTTAAAACTGAAGTTTATAGGCAGAAGGATAATTTTTGGTCCTRAACTGTCAACTGCTGCAAGAAGTATACTTCTGGAGTATTGGCCTTTTTTCTCTTAGACAGCTTGTCAGGAATRCAAAGTCACATGTGTTTTATTATARCCTGTTTGGTAAAAGTGGTATTAATTAACTGATATTAACCAGCTGATGTTATTTAACTGGTATTAACACATATTCATCATTATTAATACTGAAAATCAGTGCTAAATACTACAACTGGGAAACAAGGAATCATTCTTGGTAATTTATTGTTCTTTAATGGGAYGTACAAGTAAATGAGACATAGTACTGTTAGCGCCAGATGTGAAAGTTTCGTAATTATACTTGAACACTTGCTCGAAGTCTGTGCTGTTTTACAGTTTTATTGTACAGAAAGAGCTGAAAAATAGATTTCATGGAAGTTTACATTATAGAAGTGATTTACTTAGTTTATAGCAGTTTCATAACAGTTTCTAATTTTTCAGCTCTGCTAGATTTGAAGGTTCCCTAAACATGGATCTTAATGAAATCAGCATGAATTTGGTTCCATTTCCTCGACTTCATTATTTGGTTTCAAGCTTGACTCCTCTGTATACACTGGCAGATGTTAATGTACCTTCTAGGAGGTAAGAAAAAATATTATTGGAGTTTCACATTTAAAGCTTAATTTCTGACTCTTCTATATTTCATTAAAAAATTCTATTCTGTAGCAAAACTGAGGGTGGAACTTCTAAAACTTGTACGTCTGCCACATTTTAAAATTTATCCTGCTGATTTATGGAACATCTGTTGTCCATTTTCTGTAATGGCTGAGCCAGTAAACTTGACATCCTTTTAATCTCTGCTGGAAGTGTTTCTGTTGGGAAATGTGTTACTTATAACCCACACCACAAATTCTTCTGAGTAACCGTTTGCACTTGACTGACAAAATASTCTAAAGACAAACAAAGGATTAACTAGATTCTTTGGGAAATAACGGCATCTTACTTCAGTCTGGAGATATAGTGAGTGCAGTGAGCCTCTTTAACATCTTATTGTAATGATAAGCTGACGTGTCAAATTTTGTGACTTATTTATCCCTCTAACACAGCAGACAAATAACCAGTTAAAGTAGATTTTACTGGGTTTAATGGGTTATGTTCAGTCAGCACGATGTCCAAATAATAATAGAGGCAGCTAAGGGTAAGAGATGGAAGTACGCAAAGTGGAGAAGAGGGGAGGACCACCTTTATTTTCCAATAGCAAGTTGTGACAGYCAGATCTGTTGAAAACTTACTTGAGGGGACAGTACAGTGCTGGGGGGAGGGTAGCAGACTTCAGGGAGATGGTCGATCAAAGATGTTTCAGAATAAAGTGGGAACAGTAATATTTTTGTCTCCTTTAATTAAGTTTTTTTTGTAATAGGCAGATTGTGCTAGAAGGGATATAAGAAAAAAGAAATAGAGATGATRAAYGTAGARCATTTGGAACAAATGGAAAGAATAKCTTAGATGTTGTGGGTCCACAGAACACTATCTTTGGTATCCAACAGTACAATGAAGCTTGGTTAAGGAAGTGAAGAGAGAAAGAATATGATCTGCAGTGTCATCTTTTAAAGCAGTCATGTGTGATAAAATTAGAATAAGCAGACTAGATAAGTATATATAGCCTGTGCTTTCCCAAATCATTAATCAAAATTAATACAGTTCTGTGATTCATTGATCATTTTAAATAATTAAGTGTAACAGGAAGATAATCAGTTCTGTAAAGGTCAGCAGCACTTCTATATTCCTTGTCAGATCCTTCACAGTGAGATTGTCCACTCAACTTGCCATATAACCAGAACCCCAAGTAGTTAAATCCCTTTACATAATTTCAAGACTTTGTAATCATTGGTCTCAAATTGCCTTTATAAAGGCAACTTCTCTGACTTAACAGTGGCTTTTAACTTGAGGGAGAGGAATAAAACAGATCCATTGTGTTTCTAGAAACCTCTAATGCTAGTATATATACACAGAAAGGTTTGAATTATCATTTATGGTCCTGGGTTAAATGTGCCTTTATCCAGAATTTTATGAGCATTTAAATCCTGAAAGTGGACRTTCTGTAGAACTTTTGTATGCTGCTTTAGTAAGAGTAAGATAACTGCTTTCTTTTCACCCAGGTTGGATCAGATGTTCTCAGATGCATTTAGCAGAGATCATCAACTAATTCAAGCAGATCCAAAGCACAGCCTCTACCTTGCCTGTGCACTTCTAGTTCGAGGAAATGTGCAGGTTTCAGACCTTCGCAGAAATATTGAAAGGTTTGTAATACCACACAGTAGTCATAGAATTTGTTCTGAAACTGATGGCAGTTTTCCAGAGCATTCCAGCTTTTCATTTGGACAGTTTCAATATCAAATCAGTTTACTCCAACATACTTTTCTTCATTTTACAATGGAAGAAAACATAATTTACTTACGTAATGAGTAAAAAAAAGTCATAGTATTCCTGAATTTCCAAATAAAGGGAGGTGCTCTGCTCCTTCAAAATTGCAAAAGAAAGCAAAGCCCAACCTTCCAGGAGTTTGTTTTTGCTGAACAGAAGGYCCTTCTCTTTCATGGTTTCTTTCATGTAGTTAGGAAATCATCCTTATTTTAACAACTCTGTGTTGTTAGCACCCATTTTCTGCCTTTTACACTATTGATCTACACAGATRTAACAGGAAAGGCAAGCAAAGCTTCACAAACAAAATGGAATTTATGGGCAGACAGGGGTGCTTGGGGAAAATTTCTAAGGATCTAAAGTATTTTATTTATTTCAAAACTACAGGTAGACTGTCCCCATACAATATTAATCTGCCCCTTTACTAAATCTCAGAGTGCTTGCAATCCCTTTTATAGAAACAGGTACTYGCAACTTCACTTTTCAAATCCCCATACATTAAATAAACAAAATAATGTTTGCAATTTAAATTTAAAATAGAGACACAATGGTTTAGTCTGAAGTCTTAAATGTTAACCTTTTCAGACTGTTAGTTGAGAAAGGAAACTTAGCCTTTGTGTTCTCTATATTCCTTAGATAACTAAATTTTTGTCTCACAGGTTGAAGCCTTCTCTGCACTTTGTCTCCTGGAATCAAGAGGGCTGGAAAACTGGTTTATGTTCAGTACCTCCTGTGGGCCATTCCCATTCCCTTCTGGCTTTAGCAAACAATACCTGTGTGAAACCAACTTTCATTGAACTCAAAGACAGATTCATGAAGCTCTACAAGAAAAAGGTGCAGCTCTTATTGTAACATCCATAGTCACAAATCATTACCATCTTGTATTATACGAAATCAAATCTTAGTGTCACAAAGGGTCTGCCTATAATTAACAGACCAAGGGTTTTATTCATGTGACCACTCAAGGAATCATTCCAACAGTTGCTGCTTAAAAAGYRTAAACTCTTTATTAAYGTGTACSTATCTGGCAACATCAYAGAGTYGTAGAATGGTTWGGGTTAGAAGGAACCTTGAAKATTATCTAGTTCCAACCCCTCTGCCACAGACAGKGACACCTTCCACTAGACCAGGTGGCTCAAAGCCCTATCCCACCTGGCCAAGAGCATTTCCAGGGATGRAGCATCCAYAATTTCTCTGGGCAACYTGTTCCRGTGCACAGTAAAGAATTTCTTCCTWACATCTAATCTAAACYTTGGTGTCCAYCAAGCTTTCTCTCACTTCCCTTCCTCARCAGAGYAGGAGAAAAGTGCAGTGAAAAACTYGTGGGTCAAGATAAAGACAGGGAGATTACCCACTRGTTAGTGCCATGGGCTAAACAGAYATGGCATAGGGAATATTAATTTAATTTATTGCCAATGAATAGCAAAATAGTACAGCAAGAAATAAAACCAAAATTGAAAACACCTTCATCCCCACTCCACTCCCGTCTTCCCAGCCTCAGAATTCCACTTCTGTTCCTACTTCACTGATCTTAGTGTCTGCAGGGCTGTTTCTCTCACATTTGCCTAAACCTCTCTCACAGCAGTTGTGCAGCATTTTATCCCTCATTAAATATATTGTCACAGAGGCATTACCCATCACTAATGGGCTCAGGTGCAGCCAGTGACAGGTCCGTATTGGAGCTGGCTGGAATTGCTCTGTTCAACATGGGGGCAGCTCCTGTTATCTTCTCACAAAAGACACCCCTGCAGCCCTGTGCTCCCCCTGCTACCAAAACTCTGACATGTAAGCATAATACATAGTTGGTCCGGTGTACCCAAGAAGGCAACATGAAGAGGTGGGTGTTTAAAAAGTCTGTTTAATAAGTAATATCACCTGTAATTCACTAGAGGATTGTTACCAAAGTTGCCAAGTATTTAAACAAGGGATGCCATGATGTAAGTCTCTAAGTCTCCTTTCTACAGTGCTTGCACTCTCCCTTCAGTGATATTTACTGAGCCAAAGCAATGAGGTGCCGAGGGAAAGGATAACACTGAATTATTTTTATTCTCATAGGCTCACCTTCACCATTATCTGCAAATAGATGGGATGGAGCAAAGCTGTTTTTCTGAAGCTATATCCTCTTTGTCTGACCTAATAGAAGAGTACAGTGAACTGGATGCTACAAAAGGTGTGCCTAGAATAGATCCTTCAAGACTGAAGATAGTTGTTTAAAGGAAGAAAAACTGATTTAAAAAAAAAAACAACAAAAAAGCACTTTCCCTAAGCATCCAGCCACTTCAGTTAACCAGAATGACTTGCATCATGCCTGGCAATTGTACTTGCAAACTGGGACCAGGACAACAGCTTCCTTACCTCAAGAGGTGTCATTAAGTGATGAGGCATGCCTGTAAGAAAGTTTTGAAAGCACCTAATTGTGGCTGGTATCAGTAAAGACAGTAATCCTSACTGTGGAGTAAATTGACACACCATATGCTGTGAAGAAAGGGAAAAAGAAAAAGRAAGTTGTGGCRGCCAAAAATGTAATTCTTTTCTCAGACTTTCAACTTATGGTAAACTAAAGGTAGGTCTTACTTCAAAGAAGGATTGCCGTTGCTAGATTTAGATTTAACAAGCAACTACGAAGAGAAGAAAAGCCCAAGTTAGTATTTTCAAAGATGAAAACAAGTCTCTAATGAAACTGCTTTCTTACACTTTGCAGTAGATATTTCAGAATGCTCTAAGCTATGTTCCTCACTTTAATATTTTTGCTTCTATGTTGTACTTAGCTATATTAGAGCATTCTGCATTGCTACCAAAATTGGCAACAACAAAAAATTCAAAAAAAAAAAATTTTGTTTCAAGTATTATACTTGGAATATTAATTCACGTTTTAATGATTCATACTCATGAATGGTGAGTTGCACTTGATAATGAAATAATGCAGAATACCTCTGAGCAAAACATGCACTTATAATGAAGTTATAATGACCATTTGGAGAAAAAAGCTTATGGCCTCGAAAGAATGCAAGTAAAATAGATGTTTTAATATTTATAATTATCAGGGTAAGCAGCTTTTTATATTGCAGTAAGAACTTTTACAAAATAAAATGTACAGCTATTTCCAGTTGCTTGCCAGTGAAGTTACAGTTACAGAATGGATTGATTTCTTGAAATAATTTCTTCACAATGATTTCTTGAAATTTGAAGTCCTTCTAGCAGATTTGGAGTCAATATGTCAGTAAGCACAATTTTCAAWGTATATGCCCAGAAGCATTCAATGAAGTATTGTGATAACATTTGTTGAGAGCATTTTTTTTAAATATGTTCTAAAAATACCAATTTCCTTAAAATCTTGCATCTATTATCTGCAGTTGCCCACTTATTTATTCCTATACACATGCAGCGTTTATATCCACAGCACTAGAGAAAGACCATCTGTTGCAAAAAGCAGTCTGAGTTTAAAGTTGATGACTTCTGTTTAAAAACAGCATTGATGTGTTTTACTATTGCAGATGTGTAGCAGAAAAGGTGAACTTAAGAATGAAGAATGATAGATGAAGTATTACAGGGCAGTTTTTTTCCCCAATAGGTTACAGCATGTATTTTCTTTGTGGGCAACGACTTGTGGTGGGGTATGAAGCCGTCTTGCTGTGCCATTCTTAGTGACCAGAAGTTCTTGTTTGGGCAGCACTGGTGTTAGACATATTCTTCTCAAAAATGTATCTCCCCATGTAAAAACAGTTACATCTAAAAAKATGTCCACTTGTATTTTCTGGGTGCCATTTAATAAATGAGTGAATATTCTCATATGYAGCTTCATTATAAACATTGCTGTGGCAGGAGGTTATGCTGACTCCTCAGGGTGAGAATGTGCTGTTGCACTCTGTGTGTTACAGTCAGTGGTGTAATTCATCATAGAAGTTTGAGTTCAGAAAATATATCTCCTGGAGCACTGCAAATCCTCTGACACACACACGATGTTATCCACATCATCTTCCACCTGAAGAAGCCTTCGTTGGGACACTCAAATTGCACAGTGATCATTTTGGACTTATTAGGAATGCAGCACCTCTTGTCCGAGCACACTCCACAGAAAGTTAGTTTGTATCTTTGAGTAGTCGAGCATCCAGAAAAAATTAACTTCTCTGCTGTTGGAAGCTGGAAAGTTGGTTGACATGTTTTTCCCATTGGAATCTTTAATATTAAAACAAAGAAAACCTTGAACATTAAAACAGATCATGTAAGAAAAAGTTGCAACATTTAGAAATACTTGAAAATTATTCAATCTGAAAGCCGCCTGATTTTTCCTTTGTCAGTAACAAATAGAAAATATTTCTGAAGTAATTGCGCATCAGGACAGCATTAGCAGCACTTACACTTCAGGACATTACATTCTTTTGTTTGAAATTGCGCATCTGTAATTTGGTATTGACACCTGAAGACTGATGGTAGAAAACATAGAAGAATCATTTTAAAACCCGTAAAAAAACTAAATGTTTTTTTAGTACTTGCTAATATGTCCATTTTTCCATTAGTTCCAATGTTTTAATTTTCTATTATTAATTAATTTTATGCTACAAAATACCTTTATTTTCTTCAGCATATTGGTCAGACAAGGCTGGATGAAGCATAATCTCTTTTCTGTTTTCATTTCACATTTTCTGTTGTCATTGGTCACTCTGCTGGATATGCCTATGCCACAGGTCCTGGAACACGGTGTCCAGGGAGTTGCCTGTATGACGCACTTTTTCTTCAAAACAAGCGGTAAGCTTCTGTAAGCTAAGAAAGCAATATTTTATTTATGCAGCCCCAAAAGGATGAATTGAAAATACAAGGATAAGAATTTGATTTCTGTTCATGAAGGTACTTTTGTAAAAGGTAAACCTAAAAACGAGACATAAATAACATTTGTACAAAATTCAGCTGAGCTGCAGTTAAACTTTGCTGACATTGAATACGCAGATCCTAGCAAGGGCTAAAAAATTGCATGTATTATATGATCTTCTATTTTCATGTGAYGGAAATGTGTGAAGAGAGCTAATTGTGGAATTTTTATGAAATTTCCAGATTTTTATTTTATTTTACACCAAGCATAGTTTGTAAGGGTGCTGAAAACATTAATGTTTGTATCTTCTTAGATATTGATAAGACTTTGGGTTTTGTATTGATGAGTAAAATTCTCCAATCACTTTTAGATGCCACTAAAAAGGCTGAGGGTACGAWATTTCAAAAAAGAAACAAAATTACAGTGGAAAAGTTCTGCAAAAAAAAATACGTGGAATCTGTGCATTTATGTAAGAGCACAGGCAGAATTACCTGGAATTACCAGAATTGCTGTCTGCTTTCCAGAATATTTGGAAAGTAGACAGCAATTTGAAGATCTTATTAAAGCAAGCAGTTTAAAAGCCTGTCACAGATCTGCAACAAATAAAGGGAAGTTAAATGTTTGTTTATAYTCGATACATTTTTTTATGTGACCTAGTTACATCCCTGTGCATCTGAATTAGGTAAATCAAATTGAAATGGAAAGCCATAGAACAAAGCAAGAGGAGTGACAGAAACTTAGCACTAATTATCCACTCTAACAGAAAAAGGATTTTTCAAAATGCATATTAGCCCATTGAGCCATGGGATTCATGGACAAGTTGACAAGATACTTCTGCTGGACTGGGAAATGGGAGGGGAAAGACTTTACTTTGAAAAAAAATGTCAGGGTGTTTTTCTTCAGAAGATTTCCAAAGAACAGCATCCTACAGCACACACAGCCACCACAGGGACAGGCTGTTGGGTCCCTTAACAGAGCCCAACAGAAAGTCTGCTTTGCAAGCTGGGTMTCGTCTTTCAAGGTTATGCTGTGCAGCTAATCCAGATTCCAGAATAAATGTAGTATTGCAGTCAGTGAAGAATTTAATGAAGGTTGGACTTTAGCTTTTGGATCCGCTGAAGGACGAGAAAGCAAATGACTTAATGCTGTTCTCCACATATCTGAAATACATTGATTTGATTTGTGGTCAGGTCTGTTTCAGAGGCTCAGATTGTTTGGTTGCCATGGTTTTCAATGTGTTATGATCTYTCTTCAATCAGATTAGCACTGTTCTGTAAATATTTAATCTCTCTTCACTTGAAGTCAGTTGCCTTACCAAGTRCATGTTTATACAACAGTATTGTGTATTTTTGTTAAAAGGCTTTGTATTAGATATAGGTATTGAATCATAATTTTGAAGTGAAGCTTCTTTATTTTGGCTTACTTGTRTAACCACTGCTTGCATGTGAGAAGTTGTCCAAACTGGACTTCAGACTTTGTAAATGGGTCTGTTTTACTGCAGAGTGATTGACTTATGTGGATYTACTCAGCAGCCTTTGATGAAAGTTTTCTGATAATCTTTGCAATCCTTATAGTTTTACTTTATTGATCCATGATGGTGGTTCAAGCTGCCACCAAATAAATGGTTCTGCTTTCTGGTACYTGCATTAGCTATAACGAACATGGCTTTCACCATGTAAAGTTGTACATGCACAGGGAAGGAGAGCACACAAGCATAGGCAGCTGCTGGCATAGCTGCTTCTGGCAGTGTTGCTTCCTTAGAGTGGAAAAGAGAACTAATGTTAGCAGCAGAGCAGGATGAAGTTAAAGGGAATGTCAGCTGACCCTGGTAGAATTGCATGGACAAGCTTATGAATGCTTTTGATCAGACTGTATACAGAAGAAACTGGGGAGTATTGTACTTGCAGGGACCCAAAATTCATGAATGCTGGAAAGCCACTAAGGCAATTTTTATAATTTTCTACTTTCTATTGAAAGAGGAGGCCTGCATCCTGTTAATGTACGTGTGTGAAAACCAGGACTCCATAACACCACRAAGCAGGAGAAAGTGGGGCCGTTCCCAGGCTGTAAAATGGCTGTCCACCAACATCCCTAATTGGGCTGATCCGATGAGTAGTAAACCTCAGCAGAAAGATGCTTTGGCCARTTCCCTGGTGACAGAAGCCAAAAGCCTTTTTGCTTTTCACATTCATTAGGTTTGGTGAAATGAGTCTGTGACCTGAGAGTAAGAGGGGTAAGTGGGACACAACAGTCACTCTGGCAAAGGCCTTGAGCAAGATTAAGCAAGTGCCAGTGTGCTGCCTGCCTGGCTGCTGGAGCYAGGGACACTAAATGCAGAAAGGCTCATGTACAGAAAAGTTTACCAGTGTAGCCAGGCTCACCTGACATCAGTCTGTAGTTGGTTGATTGAAGTTGTTTGTGCTGTCCCAGGCCACAGATGGATTGTTGGGGCTTCTTTCTGCCTGTCACCCTGGCACAGGGACTTCCTGCTAATCTTGGTGTGAATGCGGGGGTACATCCGATTGTACCACTGACACACAGGCACTTATAAAGCGGGTTAGGCTGAAACGTCTGCCCATTGGCATAATAAACTCCATTGAGCTCACATCCTACAGCTACCAGATCTGAAAATGGTGAACAACAGTTACTAACACAGGAGGAGCACGTGGGTCTTGCTTAGCAGAGTGCTAAAATGTGGTCAGTCTTTATGGTATCCACAGCTCTTTATGTCAGCCATCAGCATGTCTGCCAATAACATGCTTGTGCACAGTGAACTGGTCTCACTAATGCAGGTAAGTTTGAATACAGTCCCAGCCCTAGTCTCAGATTCTCTGTGCAGCTGGAGCACTAAATTAGGAAGAATTGCTTAGCTGCAATTGCAATTGCAATTGCAATTGCTGCTGTGCAACACCTGCAAGCAGAGTTTTCTTCCAAAACCATTCACCTGCTGGTCCCCACCCTCCTGGATTTCAAGATGGGAACGTGAAAGAGCAACTTACATGCACACACTCCTGTTTCATACCTAGGCTCATCTTCCGAGTAGTCGCAGTAGAGTCCTTTGTGGGGATCACAGACATCTGCTTCATTGCAGKGCTCTCCTGCCTGCTTGGCACAGACCTTACAGCAGCCACAGCCATCCTTCACCAGGCTGACCCCAGGGGTGCAGGCTGGCACCGGTGGGCATCGGCATGGCCAGTGACAAACCTCCTTGCGCTGGACTTCACCAGTTTCTGAAGGTTTATCTYCAGGCTGCTCTGGTGGTCTGTGAAAAAACTTACACACAGTGGGCTATTTTGAGCACTGAATGCATTATGTGTAGCTGGAATAGCATAAAATTAAATCGAGGTGGAAAAAGCTTCAAGTTGCAAATCTTCCAATTGCATGAAGATACSTAATATCTCTCATCTCACGAGATCAAGAAGTGAGAGAGGCTGTGAGGATTAGGTGGAAGGCAGAGGACCATAAGTCAGTGTCATACACTGATATTATTCCACCAGTGAGCCTGACCTACTGCTTGTACAAAGCACAATTCATTGGTCTTTTCTTTGCCTTCTATAGAAAAAAACTGAACAAAAGTAAAAAAATGATTTTAGAGTAGATGGTGGTTTTATTATGATTATTCCTTCCTACAGACCTTCTGTCTAATTAATTGGTTTTTGATTCCTCACATTGTTTTAGAGCCAGCCATAGTCCTGTGTGCTGGTTCTGATGACAAARGCCTTTTAAAATGGGGAACCTCTCTTGAATGTTACTTTTGCTCCAAAATTTGAGTAGCTGCTGGGGAAGGAGCAYTGTAATATTTACAAATGCTCTTGTGCTCAATGCAAAAAATTAATCCTAATAAGGGAGGCTTGTAGTTGAACTGAGCTTAATAGGTCACTTTCTAAGAGTGCATTTATTTGCATGACTAAGCCTTCTTTGAATCCAGGGCTTATGGAGCAAAGACCTATCTCATTAAAGAGATTTGTATCAGCAGTAGGAAGTCAAGATCTAGCCAGAATTTGCTGTTTTGCACATTCTGTCTCAGAAATCATGCCTTTTTCTTTTTTTCTAAGTAAAGGGATACTGAAGTAATTCTTGATGGGCTTTTTTTTTCTGAAGCATGGGGGCAAATTTAGCCAGTACAGTGTGAAAGGACCCATTTGAGACAGCTATAGTCTATCTGCATTTTTTAATAACTGCATCTAAAACTTAGCAGTTYTGATCTTAGCATTTAATCTTTTCATGCTGCTGATTTCAGCAGAAATGCAGATCATGGTACWGTTACTCCCCATGGATAAGTAAAGTAGAGGTACACACAGCACTTGGTCACTATGCAATGTCAGGCCTGGGAGCCACTCTTACCACACATCTCTGACTGTYCAAAGAGCGAAAGGAAAAGAATACCCAGCCACTCATAAGGTGCCAGCATCACCATCAAGCTTAATACCCAGCCACTCATAAGGTGCCAGCATCACCATCAAGCTT